GGGATTTTCTGCCCATGGTCTCATTGGATATCTTTTTTTGTCCTACAAAAGCCCTTCATGCTTCTGAGTGACCTATGACAGAGAGCTGAAGCAACAAAAAACTGGCCCTTGTCTCTTCAGGGCCAGTTTTCAATAAATTTGTTTCCTTCTAATTTCTGTCTCTTTATCACCTTTTTCAGTTGAGGCAAGAACATAGAGATTTTAAAGACTGGCAAGTTAATGAATTCTCTTTGTGAAAGGTTCTTGCCCTAAAATAAATTACTGTACAGTTATGGCAGTGATCTAATGTGGTGGAAGGCCAAAGCAGGAATGCTTACCATTTCCTACTGCTTCTTCATCCCTAATTGCAACTCTCCATTCTGTTTGCACATGAAGAAAACTCCAATCAGCTCCTCGTGGGTCATCAATAGAGCATTGATGTGCACCACGCCCGGTCAGAGGTTATAACCTACACCCGACGTTCTGGTAGAGACAGCCAGGCCACCGGTGGTCATGAACTCCTCTCCACAAACCTGGGATAAAGGCTATTTTTATTTTATATTTTCTCTTTTATCACGCCAAAAACTCTTTCACTTTGTAAATAGTTTATCCAACTAGGAATGATGGCACATGTTTGTAACTCCAGCTCTCTTAGGGACTGACTGACTTAGAAAAATAGCAAGTTCAAGCCCATCTCCGGCAATGTGCAACTTAGTGAGATCCTGTCTCAAAATTAGAAATACAAAAATGGCTGGAGATGTAGCTCAAGGTGAGGGTCCTAAAGTTCAATCTTCAGTATTGGATTATTGTTAAGGATATATCTGAGACTTTGATATTACTTGTATGGAGAGTGATTCTTATAATGAAATATCATGAGTGGGTCTTCATTTATCAGTTTTTGGAGGTTTCAGCTAGCTCCAAGGCAGAGTGGCATGGTCACCCATGGAAGCCACTAGCAACAAGATGGAAAGGGCAAAAGGGCATGCTGGGTAATTTTGTAGACTTTCAGATTTCCAATGGTAACAATTCTGGGATGTTCCTTTCTGAACACTACCTATTCCCTTGGTGGCTACATCCCTTCCTTTGTAGAATCACATGTGTATAGCCAAAGGAACAATTAAAGGGCCCAGAAAACATCCATTGATTCCTCTTATCTTTCCCTTTGTGTTCAACTTTTGGTCAGCTTACTGGGAGATAACGGTTCTGACCATAAAGCAACACAAATTTTTTTTATTTAAGGAGAAAAAGAAAAAATAAACAGAAAAAGGGTACAAGTTATACAGAATTTCAGAAAAAAATAAACAGTAGGAAATCACTAGTTAATAGATTACATATAGTTATCTTAGAAATAGTTGTTCAAGTTACAAAATTAAAGCACATGAAGTGGACTTTCAAACAGTGAGACTGGAAACAGTTTTGTTCATTGATCCAACAAAACTCAGTAATATGGTTATCTATCTTATACCCTTAAATATATATGCACTTATATATATTTTTAGAGCACTTTCTTTTCCTTTCTTTTGTACAATGACAATTACACATTTTGGATTTTATTACTCCCACAGTTCTTATTACTTTTTTTTGAAGAGAGTAAAACCAAATGTGACATAACAGAACAGAATCAGTCAAATCAAAAGGATGGACATAATAGATAATGTAAAAACAAAATACTAGGTGATCAACAATGGTTACTATACGGCCTCTTGCTATCTTAAAAAGAATTGCCTGTATCATCAGCTATAATAAAATTGAACAAAACAGTAAAGAATAAAACCAAAACATTGGAGACATTACAGGACTTTAAAAGAAGATAATAGTCAACTGGAATGGGTGTCATAATGAATCTTATTGTCTTCACAGATTTGTCTATACTTTTGAACTTGGTACTATCAAGCAAAGCAGAATAGAGGAAAATCAGTCAAAGCAAAATGGTGAGGGCTATACAGGGTTTCAAATCAAGTTAATAGGAAATCAAAGTAGGTTACTATAATGTATCCTGCTATTTTTTATTTTTCCCTTAATTAAAAAGATAAAAATAAAAAAGTAAATAATTAAAAAAAGGAGATTGAGATAAAAGAGGGCATAACAACAAAACAGCGCAGGTCAAAGCATAACCATTTAAGCAAAATAGTGTTTCACCACAAGATATCCTGACATAAAAGTAGTTACTATAGTGTCTCTTTCCTTGAAATCTTTGAGTATAACTTCATATATTGTAGCACCAAACATATCAAGACAATGCAAAACCATTCAAGAGAATGACAGTATTACAGGGTATTTAGAACCAACTATCAGAAAATGAACAATGGTTTCTATATAATCTCCTTGTCTATAAAGGCTTTTGCTTATATTATCACATATAATAAAATCCAATAAGATACCTGTTAAGACCAATAGAGACGAAGAATTAAAGCTTGATGGGACTTCAAAGCAAGATGATACTAAATCAGCACTAGCTATTATAATATCTTGTTTTCTCCAAAATAGCTGTTCCTACCATCCAACCTTCTCTGCCTCATTTCTGTTGAGATATTTGTTGTCAGTTTGTCTTTTTCATTTCGCTTTCTGCTCCATTCATTGTGGCCTCTCTGCCACTGTTTCTGAAGTCTTGGTATTTTCCTTTTTTTAGAATATCCTGCAGTAATTTCTGTAGAGTTGAATTAGTGGTTTCAAATTCCTCTAGTTCCTCTTTATCTGGAAGCACCTTGTTTTTCCATCAATTTCTAGGGACAGTTTTGCAGGATATACCAACTTTGGCTGGAGGTTGTTGTCTTTCAAAGCTTGAATTATTTCCCCCCAAGCTCTTCGTGATTTGATGGTTTATGCTGAGAAGTTTGCTGTAATTCTGATGGGTGTTCCCTTGTAAATGATCTGTTTCTTGTCTCTGACAGCTTTTAGTATTCTGCTCTTATATTGGATTTCTGGAATTTTGATTATTATATGCCTGGGTGTAGCTCTGTTTGGGTTGTAGGTGGCTGGGGTCCTATATGCCTCATACATCTGAGTATCTTTACCTTTTGCTAAATTAGGGAAATTCTCTTGGATTATTTCTGTGAATAGCTTTTGTAGTCCATTTGTTTGTGTCCCTACTTCTTCTTTTATGTTCTTAATTCTTAGGTTGTAGATCCTCTTATCATCTTCTAGCCTTTGTATTATTGCTGTTTGTTTTCTTATTATTTTTAAAAAGTTTTTCATTTCATGTTCCCATGTTACAAGTCTGCCCTCCGATTCAGATAATCTATCTTTAGTTTCTTTCAAGCAGTTATGCCAGCTTTCGATAGAGTTTTTAGTTTCCTGGTAATCTCTTTGAGCCTGGTTCACATATTCTATGTTCTCTCTATTTTCTCCATCAAACAATTCTCCCCTTTTTTTCTGTTCTTCCATTCCACCATCTGTTTTTTCTTGGGCAGTGCTTAGCATTTCTCTAACTATTCTACTTATATCTTGCTTTATTTCATTAAATACTTCATTTTTTAACTCGTCTATGAGGCTCTGGAGATATCACTTTATGTCTATTGGTGCCATGTCTCATAGTGCATGTTTTATGTCTTCCTTTTTCCTGGATCAGTGTTTTCAGGATTGGGGACTGAGGACCCTTTCTTGTTGCTTCGTCTTCCCATACTTTTTGTTCCTTCCATACAAGCGAATGTAGGAGGCCCAATTTTTTTCTCTTTGTCCGGTTACAGTTTGTTAGAATTGTGCCGGCTATGTGTTCCTGCACACTGCAGTGTACTAGGGAGACACAGACCTGGGCATCCTCTGCTGGGCTCGCCCCTCCAGGTCAACCTACAGAAGGCTTCACCACTAGGGTGCACCTCCAGGCACTGGGACCTGGTTTGGGTTAGCCTACTGGGTGTTGGTCAGTGGTATCACGCAGGCCAGGCACTCCCCACCAATCCCGCTTGAGAGGGGAATATGCGACTAATGTCACTGCAGCGCTCTGTTCCAGCAAGTCTGCCCAGTCCCAATATGTCCTTTGCTGGAGCCTCCTACTCTATGAAAGGGTCCCTGTTCCACTCACTCACCGCAAGTCGATGTAGGGCTCCCTGCTAGTCCCGCTCTCAACTCAGTTTGCAGATTCCCACTTTCGGAGCTTTCCTGCGTCTTTCTCCCTGCCCAGCAGATTTGGACGCAGCAGTGGCAGCAGGAAATTCTAATCGCGGCTTCCAGTGGTGCAGGTTCGAGCTTCTGAGCTTAGATTTTATCTATTTCTGTTATAGCACCAGGATTGGATTTCCAGTTGGTTTCCCTTAGCTTAATTCATTCCTGGGTCGGCAGGGCGTATCTTCCCTTGCTTAGGACTCCTCATACCGCACCATTCCTGGATTTTAAGCAGGGTATCTCAGAGAGCCTCCGTAGCTGCTGCTATTTATCTGCCATGTTCTTCCGGAAGTCTCAGCAACACAAATTTTTAATTAAATTAACTTTGTGACTCAAGCAATGCAGAGAAAAAGAAAATTTCAACAAACATTATTGTGCAAATTAGCATCAGAAAAGGAACAAATACAAAATTACATTCAATTTTTTGTAAGAAGCATTCTTAAAATGTTTCAAACAGAACTCTTACAAATATAAAACTTCCTGGAAGTTTCAAAAGTCAATAGAGTTTAGGGTTTCCTCATGCAATTACCATATGACACAATAATTCTGCTTCTGAGTGTATCTTAACAGGACTGAAAACATGTTTATGGAAAATTTTGATCAGAGTAGCATTATTGTATATAACAGATACTTGGAAATAGGGAGAGGCTAGTCAAATGGGAAGGGGAACAAAGGATGGGAGATGTGAAAAAGAAGGAAGGGAAAAGAAAAACAGAGAACAGAAAGAAGAAAATGGAGACAAAAACAAGGAGGGGAAGAGGGGTTGAATGGAAGAGAGAGGAATAGGGAAAAAACAAGAACCAGGATGTATCATGTACAGGTAACAGCTTCCTCTGATGAATGTGATCATTATAATATATCTAAAATGTACCCCAAAATTAGTCAAGATAATAGTAGCATTATTTATAATAGTCAAAAAGTAGAAACAAGTAAAATGTTTATTAGTTCATCAATGGATAAACAAAATGTATAACAGCCCTACAATGGAATGTTATTCAACCATAAAAAGGAATAAAGTATTACTGCATGCTAGAACATAGATGATCTTAAACACATCCTGCTAAATGAAAAAATCCAGACACAGAAGAACACATACAGCATGATTTCATTTATATTAAATGTTTAGAAATCCATAAAATCAGAAGATAATTTAGTGTCTGTCAAGGAGTAGAAGTAAGGAAAATTTGGGCTAACTGCTAATGGATACAGGTTTCTTTTCAGGGTGATGGTATCTGGCATTGGTGGTACTATTGCACAACATAGTAAAAGTACTAAAAACCACTGGAGAACTTTATGTTACATGAAGCATATCACCATTTTAAAAGATTATTAAAATAAAACTCAGATGAAGTTTAGGAGGAAAAAATGAGAAAATAGTAGAATCTGGGCATGGTTACACACCTGTAATCTCAGTTACTCAGGGAAGTAAGGCAGGAAGATTGCTGAAATTCACAGATTTGAGACCAGACTGGGCAACACAATAATACCCTGTCTCAAAAACAAGGATATAGAATATATCCAAAAGAATTTAAAAGGCAATACAGAAACAATACTATACATTAATAATGAAATGATTCAAGAAATGGTCCCAGAACTAAAGGACACGGGTTTCAGATTTAAAAGACCTATAAGCTCACAGTCCTTGCCCTACAGTGCTCCCCTGTAGCTGATGAAACCTAATACTTGATACCTACATCTTGAAGGAGGGGTTTATTTTGGTTCATGGTTGCAGTCCCTGGTGGGCTGGCTCCCAGGCAGAAACAGTGTGATGGAGGGGTCTGGAAGAGAAAAGCTGCTCACATCGTGGAAGCCAGGAAGTAGAGAGAGAGAAAAGGAATTGGGGAAGGAGCGAGACTCTTCCAGGTCTTCCCCCACAGTGAGCTGCCTCTCACCAGACTCCACCTCCTGACACCAAGTCAGCCTTGGTGCTACCATGACCCAGGCGCCTTCCTAAAGTCCCACGGAGAGACACATGATGTTCTTGGGGGAAATTCTAGATCTAGATCTGAGCCGTCATATTAACATTCCATCTCTGGCCCTCAAAAGACTCATTTTCAATCTCATTATCCAAATGTTGTTAGTCCACCACAAAGTTTCCAAAGTCTTAACAGTTCCAGTATTTCTGAAAATTCCAAGTCCAAATTCTCCTCTGAGCCTAAAGGCAAACTCCTAGCTGTGAGCCCTGTAAAAATCAAAAAGAAAGTTGCACATTTCTAATACACAATGAGCACAGGGTAAACACTTTTATTCCATCAAGGTACAATAGGAGGACCAAAAAGGATAAAGCAAAAGCAAGACAAAACACAGCAATGCAAACATTAAACCTTATAGCTCCAGGTCCAGCCCCCAGGCGTCTATGGCATTACTGGTTTCAGCTTTCTGGATTCTTTCTTGGTACAGCTGTAGTCACTGCTTACAGCCTTCTCCAGCAGATGTTCCACATTCCTGATGTCACCAGCTTTCTGGGGTCTGTACTGCACTTCTGACTTCACTCTCGTGCCTCCATCCACTGTCTTTTCAGGGTCACACTGCCTGGCCTCTCAGGCCTTCTTCTGAAATCTGGCTGGAAGCCTCCTTGACCTTCTAACTCTTGAATTCTGCATACTCATACTGTTCTTTTTCAACACTAGTACAATTAGTAGTATAGTCATTTTAGTTATCATGTATATACAAATGTATGTCTTTTTCCTTTTCCCTTCCTTCTTCTTTTCAACTGAAACTTCTAGAGTCTGGTCCTTACTGTCCCTATCTCTATGGGCCTTTGGGCCTTCTGAGCCCTGATCAGAATCTTCAGTCAAGCTCTGCTTAGAGCACTCTAGGGATTCTCTAGCTGGCATCTCCAAATCTTTCCAAACTCTTCCTAAAAACCAGTTCCAAACACTATTGCACCAGGTATATTCACAACACCAAGCCCACTCCTGGTACCAAACACTGTCTTCATCGCTTAATCATCACTGAGACACAATACCTGACAAACACAATCTAAAGAAGGAGAGGCTTATTTTGGCTCCCAATTCAGTTCCTGGTCAGCCGGTCTCAGGCAGGAGCAGCATGGTGGAAGGGTCTCAATAGAGGGAAAAGCTGTCACATCATAGCAGAAAGAGAAGAAAGGACCTGGGGAAGGAGATACACACTTCCAGGTCACTGCTCCAATGACCCACCTTTAACCAAGTCCCAATTCCCGCCAGTAAACCAGCTGCAGTGTTGCTATGACCCAATCACCTTCCAAAACCCCTATCTCTGAACACATGAGGCTTTAGGGGTAGTCCAGATCTAAACCCAACAACTCTTCTCTCCAGATTCCAGCCATTTCTTTCTCTCATTGATTCTTTAGATCTATCGTAAACATCTTCTAGATTATGTCCTACCTCTTATGAGTCTTTATACTCCAGTATGTCAGCTACCAACTGAAACACTAATTATGCAAAAAAAAAATGGCTTTTTTAGCAGGGCATGGTGACACATACCTGTGACCCCAGAACTTGGGAAGCTGAGGCAAGAGGATCATTGCAAATTCATGGCCAATCTGAGCTACATAGTGAATTCAAAGCCAGTCTGAACTACGCGTAGTGAGACTGTCTCAACAAAAAAAATTTTTTTTTGAATGATTTTTCTCGTGGATCCAAGGGCAACTAGAGCTTGGGCACTGATCTGAGTTGGGCATCACTAGCTCATGCCTTAGTGGCTAGATCACGTCTGCTTCCCACACTAGGCTTACAGATGATTGGAGCAAGTGTTCCCATGTCTTTCACTTCCCTTAGACCAGGAGATGTACTTCTCTCACGGCAGCAACAGGGACACATAGAGCAAACAAAAATGTAGATATCTCCCAACTTGGAATTATGTCCAGAAGACTCACCATAAGCTGAAAATATTGAAAGTGGGTCGAGGATTTAGCTCAGTGTCTTAAGTGCATGCCTGGTAAGTACAAAGTCATGAGTTCGATCCCTGGTCCCAAAAAGAAAAAAGAAAATATTGTAAGTTGAATGCATATTTAATACACCTAGCCTATCAAACAACACAGTTTAGCCTTGTCTGTCTAACACATATTTAGAACACAGTTTGCCAAAATCATAAAATAAAAAAAAAAAAAGACTAGGGATTTAGCTCAGCGGCATAAGCACCTGCCTTGCAAGCGCATGGCTGAACGATCCCTGGTACTGGTAAAAAAAAAAAAAGAGACTATTTTATATAAAGTGTTAGATATCTCATGTAACTTATTGAACACCTGTATCCTAAAATATCAGCAATACAGTACACTGTAGAGTATCAGTTGCTGATCAGCATGGTCATGACAGTGGGGCCATCTGGGAACTGTAGGTCACTACAGCTGCCCCCCATATCAAAAGAGAGTATTGTACCACATTTTCATGATTTCTAGTGAAGGCACATCACTGTTGTACCATCATAAAATGAAAAAAAATGTAAGTCAAACAACCATATATGGGAATATTTCTACATATATATTGAGCAGCTTTCCTATTGCTGGAATAAAATGCCTGACATTGGCAATTAAAGAGGAGGGTTTATCTTCTCTCATTATTTCAAAGGTTTTGGTTCACAGGTTCACAGTAAGCTGGCATGAAGGCAGGAACACCATGGCAGAATGGTGTGTGGCAGAGGGAATCTGCTCAGATCATTGCCCAACATTTCCATCAGGGGAAAAGCTGGGGAAGAGGGAGCCAGGAATCAGATATAGTCCCCAAGGTCACAAACCATGACCCACTGCCTCCAAACCATGCCCCATCTCCTAATAGTCCTTCCATCATGAACTCACCAATGAGCGAACCCATTAAAGAGGTTAGTACCTTCAAATCTCTCTCGCTCTAGATAACAGGTTAGTAACTTTCATCTCTTTCTCAATCCAGTTAAGTTGACAACAAAGATCAACTGGCAAAACATGATGACTTTTAAGGACTGAGGTTGGAGCTGACTTGCTTTCCCTTCACATATAATGCGGGCACAAAAGGGCATGGATACAGACAGTGAAGAAGGTTGGAGTCAGTTAGTCAATCTGCCTCTCCTTCTTACTTACATCTTTATAAATATCTCCTTTATTAAATCCACCTCAGTTACCTCCATTTGAGTTGCCATATGTTGTCTTCCAGGCTACAGATAGATATAGAGATAGGTACCGGGAGGGGCCCAAGGAAACAGATCCTCAAAATAGTATTTTGATATTTTATTGCTCTCATATATTTTAAAAACACACAACTAACCCCCTCCCAGAAGGAAATGGAATACTAACAATCTATGACATTCAGTGGCATAACAGTGACTAAACTTACCATTGATGGTGGCAAGGAATAAATTCAGGTGCAGAGCAATAGAAATAAAGTGACCATGGTGACATCAGTGACTATAAAGACTGCACAGTCAGCTTCCTGTCTTTGATGGATCTGAAGACTGTGAACAGGGAAAAAGACCATACTGCATGCCTTGAGTATCCAACTCAGAACTGGATGGAAAATCAGCCTCTATAGTGACTCTAAAGAGGTCTTTCTCTTCTGGAAGCTAAGCTGATATGAATTAGGATAAAGTCTAGAAAATGATTTCAAGGGTTGCAGAGTTGAAAACCCAATTAGACACTCAAACCCTTCAGTGTCAGTCTCCTACAATAACCTGAGTGTCCTGATAGGAAAGTAGTGTGATCCAGAGATGCTGGATGAAGAGGTTGTGCAGACATGGATGAGACTAAGAATTTGAATGCTAAAATCCTTCTACGCCTCTGGGGGGAAGTTTATACCTGCAACACTATTTCCATTCAACAGAAACCTTTCAATGACTGCATTCACATGGCAGTGTGATTTCCCCAGGACCCCTCTGGACTCCCCTCGTTGCTTTCAGACGCACAAGGAGAATTAAACACCGGCACAGTCCACACTGTAAAGCACATGACCCAGATTCAAAGGAGACAGCCTTCATTGCCAGAAGAACTGCAGGGTTTCATTAACTTGTATCGGCAGGAATCCTGGGAGTATAGATTTAAATGAATTCTAGCATGATGAGACTGTGAATATAGGCTAAGACTTGAAAAATGATTGCAAAGAGGAATTAAGATTTGACGGCATGGTCTGAATACTCAGGATGTGGCATTAACGGCTAAGCTGGTCCATCTCAATAATAAATTACACTTAGTAGAACTGCTGTGTCATGTGAAAGGGGAAGTCTAAATAAATGTCAAAAGACATAAGAATGCTAAAATGGACTGTTATGTGGACCTTATAAACTTCCTAGCCATATCCCTCTGAGAGGTCCAAAGGATATTCCCTCCGAGAATTAAAAAATAAACTGAGTTGTACGTAGTGCTGCACTCCTGTAAGCCCAGCACTCAGGAGGCTGAAGCAGGAGGATCACCTCTAGCTTGAGGCAAATCTGGGCTACATAATGACTTTAAGGCAAGCCTGAATTACATAGCAAGACCCTGTTAAGAAAGAAAGAAAGAAAGATTGACGCTTAGACATGGTACTGAACACCTGTCATCTCAGCGTTCTAGAAGGCAAAGGCAGGAGGTGGGCAAGTTTGAGCCCAGCCTGCGAAAGCTGGCTCAAAGTTTTTTAAAACTCCAAAAGGGTTGAAGATGTAGCTCAGTGAGAAGGCCTTGAGCTCAGTCTTTAGTACCATGGAAGACAAGAGCAAGGAAATAAAGAAGAAAGAAAAGAAACTGAAATAGTTCTAATTATAAAACCTGAATCACCTCTTTGATTCACTAGTCATCAGGTAGATAAAAGACAGAGTTTTGGTCTAAGTTCCATAGGATCATGAAACCATTTTGTGATTCTCAGTCTCCAAAGGTATATTGGAATAAAAATAGCAACTGAGAGGCCCCTCATATTGGTTTCCTGACTCACAGAATGAGTGTTTTGTTTTGTTTTGTTTTGTTTTGAGGACTTCTATGGTCAGAAGAAAGTACCAGGCAACAGAAGTTCCTAAAACTTCCCCATGCAAACCCCACTGTCGCTCCACAGCTGACAACCCAAAAGCAAAGTGACCACCCCAGAGGAACCGCAGACTCAGCCACCTGACAGAGGAAGAAGTGTGGCTCCAAGTCTCTTCCCATCCTTCCTGACTCCACCAAAATCCAGAGGGTCTTGCAGAAAGGCTGTCAATCACCCACCCTTAATCAGCAGTGCCATTCATCTCTGACTCTGGGTGTGGTAACTTTATGGAACAAAACAATACAGATGTTAACCTAACAAATTATTTTTCCCTCCATCCCTGTCACCAACAAGGATCAGTAGCAACCTGACAACAGTACACCTCCACTTGCTAATCTTAGCCTACCTCAGTGTCCCTGCTTTGCTGTCCTAAGGTAGCCTGTAAAGACCTTGGTTATCTTTTTTTTTCTATTATTAAGTTTATAGGTACAATTTAGATATACACATTGATCACATTCATCACGGAACATTTGTACCTGTACATGGTATATCTTGGTGCCTCTTTTTTTCCGTTCCCCTCTCCTCCTTTCAATCCCGCAAAATCCTCCCATTTACAAAGCTGTGTTTCCATCTTATCCTTCTTTTCTGGTTTTTTTCTTTTCACTTCCTTCCCTGGCCCCTCCTGTTTCCCTTTCCTTTTGAACAATGTCTTCCTATTTCACAATATCTTTAATATATTTCAATTCTTAGTTACACTTTCAGGTTCTCACACCAGAGAGACAGCCCAGTATTTTTTTTTTTTTTTTTTTTGGTCTTTTTCCTTTTTATCGGTACCAGGGATCGAATTCACGACCGCCTGCTTGCAAGGCAGGTACTTATGCTGCTGAGCTAAATCCCCAGCACCTGACAGCCCAGTATTTACATGTATCCAATTTATTTCAGTTAAGAATACATCCATTTTGGTATAAATGTATCAGATTTATCCTCCTTTTTGGCAAAGGAGAATTCCATTGTATAAAAAAGCATCTTTTTATCCACTCATCGGTTGAGGTGTGTTGGGAATGTTTCCAAGATTTTAATTCTTTCCACCAAGAAGTGGAATACCTGGGTTGAATAAAACCTCTAGTCCTAGTTTTTTGAGGAATATTTATACTGATTTCTATAGTGGTTGCATCAATCTACACCCCCACCAACACTGGAGAAGGGTTCCTTTTCCCCACAGCCCCACCAGCATTTGATACTGGTTGATTTCTTGATAATAGCCATTCTTTCTAGAGTGCGATGGAATCTCAGCATTGTTTTAATTTGCATTTCTTGAAAGGCCAATGATACCAAATATTTTTTCATATATTTACTTGCCACTTCTACTTATTTATCTGATCAGTGCGTATTCATGTCAGCTGCCCATTTTTGGACAGGGTCTTTAAATGTGAAGGAGTCAGATTTTTTTCAATACTTTATGTATTCTAGAGAGTAGTTCTTTGATATAGACCTGGAAAAAATTTTTCCCATGCTGTTGGTTGTCTGTTCACTCTGTTGGTGATTTCTTTTGTTATGCAAAAGCTTCTTAATGAGATCCCAGTTGTTAATTGTTTTGTGATAGTTCCTATGCAACTGGGGTTTTGTTAATGAAGTCTTTACTTACACCAATATCTATTCTCTCTTCCAGTAGATTTAGTGTTTCTGTTTTAATATCTAGATCTTTGACCCATTTTGATTTTAGTGTAATGCATGGTGATAGACATGGGTTTAGTTTTAGTCCTCAGCATGTGTAGAGCCAGTTTTTCCAGCACCATTTATTAAAGAGGCTGTCTTTCTTCCAGTGAATGTCTGGTAACTTTGTCAAACATAAGATGTCTAAGTATGTCTGCAGTCACTTCTGTGTCTTGTAATCTGTTCTATTGATTCTTGGGTCTTTTTTTTTTTTTTTTTCTTTTCTCTTTTTTTGCTAGTACCACACTGTTTTTAGCACAGCAGCTTTACAGCATAATTTCAAGTCAGGGATTGTGTTGTCTTCTGCTTTGCCTTTGTTGCCCAGAACTGCCTTTGCTATTCTAGATCTCCTCTGGT